TTTTTTAAAGTTCCAAGTCATTCGGTCCTACCTACAAAATATCGAGCCCATTGCTTTTGTTGGAAGTCCAAACTTGCCGAAATTTGCATGGTAGGTCGCGAAATCAAGCACAAGACAGCCAGGGAATCGATTTCACYCCAATGGCGCCATCGGCTTTAAACCAACTGACGATCGCCATTAATTTCTTCGCAAAATCGCTTCCCACCTCTGATTTCTTCCAAAAGAGCGCCTCTGCCGCCTAGCCAAGCTTAATAATGCAAGTATAGGGGCTCTTGTGCTTGAGTTTGACTTAAAAAAACACTTAAAAACCAAGTTTTGCTGTGTTTTGAACGAGCTGTTCGCTATTCAAAGACACAAGCAAAAACTTAGCAGGCATCCCTCGAGAGTTTGAATGTTTGGCTATGTAAATCGGCATCAGTTGCCTTGACAACCGTGAATTCAGCGCTAAAATCGTTTTTGAAGCTTTTCACCTGTAAAGCGGTTAAAAATTCCCCAGAAATTTGGGAATTAAAGTGTTAACACACTTAAATCTTCTCAAAACAGTTGCRTAACTGAAAGATGAATTTAACACCGTAAAAAGTAGGTGAAATTGGCCATTTTGACGTTGCGCAGGGGACTGGGCACTAATCAAAGAAATATTGATCTATTCACGAAACAAACCCCACCAGATGAAAGGGCACCCAAAAATTAGTATATATACCAAGTTTCAAAACGTTTGGATAAAAACTAGCTGAACAGTATTTATTCCTAGTTTCATCAAATTAACAGAGAATGTATTGTTTTGGGGCACGCAGTCAAAATCCCCATACATTCTCTGTAAATTGCACGGCTTCTCGTTAATTGAATATTTGTCCAAATGATCTGTAACTTGGAACTTACACTAAAGTTGATAAAGTCTTTTTAGTGATATGGTTAGTTTTTCGATTGGCTCAATATGACAGAAATTACAATTCATTTCATAACATAAAAATGGCCAATAACTTACTGAAGTTTTGGAAGTTAATCCTTCGTCGGAGTAAAGAGATGGAACTCTCCGACGAAGGATTAACGTCCAAAACGTCCATAAAAAGTTTCGCCTACTTTTTTACGGTGTTAAATTTATCTTTTTACACAACTGTTTCTTTAGTAACACCGACGCAGCTCACATTCTTCCCACCATGTTAACTCGCTCGAGCGAGAAACAAATGACGTTTGGTAAAAAATAAATAAAATTGCTCSTCACTTACACTATTAATCTGTGCGTTGTGTTTTCTTACAGCGACGAATACTCGTAGATAGCAGTAGCAAATCGCTGTAGCTGGTATTCCGATGTATGTCAATACTAAAAAAGCAGTAAACCATCCACTATCAATTTGTAAATAGCAGAAGGCTTTGCCTTGATGGAAATGAAACGTGTTGCCTCCAACAACGTAAGGGACTGGGGCGAGTAGTGCTAGCAACCAAATGAGGCCGATGATTCCAGCTGTTCTCTTTGTAGTAAAGTAGCGATTGTATACGTCGGCAGGCTTGACGACTCGGTAGAACCTGTCATAAAACCAATTAACTAAAAATATCAATCGATCAATAAATCAAAAGCCAAGCAACCAACGCAATCAAGTAGCCACGCAAACAAGTTACCAAGCAAACAAGCAACCAGCCAACCACCCACCCATAAATCCACAAACCAGCCAAGCAAGTAACCAACCAACTAACCAACCAACAAGCCAACCCATTAACCAACCAATCAGCCAAGCAAGTAACCAACCAACCAACCAACCATCCAACCAAGAAACCAACCAACCAACCAACCAACCCATTAAACAATAACAGACAATCAACAACCAAACAGCAAACCAACCAACCAGCCAGCCAACCAACCAATCGATAAACCTACCAACCAACCAAATAACCAACGAACTAGCCCACTATCGAACCTACCAATCAACAAGCCAACTCATAAAGCAACCAACCAACCAATGAGCCAGCCAACCAACCAAAAATCAACAACCAGCCAATTGACCAGGCAGCCAGCCAACCAGCCAACCAGCCAATCAACATACATGATGCTATAGAAACGTTTTCTGACCGCAGGCATTGTGAATTATAGAGTGCATGCACAGCATGAGCTAAGCGGACCTGTACCAAAGTCTGTGATGGTAAAGACCATAGTGCGGATTTCGTATGAGTGGGAAACGGATGGTACTGTACTGTGACCGTAATCGTACTGTAACCAAATTCTAGTGCCCCATTGGTTCACCAAAATTTTGCAGGCCAGGTCCGGTAACTGTGCGGTAACCGTGCGGTAACGGTGTCCCACTCATACGAAATCTGCTCTATATGATGACTGATGTAAAAGCATGGATGGATCCTCTGAGGTCCGCTTAGCTCATGCTGTGCATGCAAAAAAAAGGCCTTTTCGGCTCGTAATGAGAGAAATATGGGGAAATATAAATATAGATAATTATATGATAAAAAGTGAGTATTTCCCATCAAAACCTGCGAAAACTCGCATTGACTTTCGGTCATGTAATCGCCGTTTCGCTCTGACAACTTTTTTGGACATAGCTCAGTATATATTATAAAAAAAAAGAAAATAAAAAACTAACAGCAATCTAATTTTGTGTTCTTTAGTTGTGTGCCTGTAAAAATATTGCTATGTTTTCAAATATCGATAATGATTGTTTTTGATGTAGCTGACCTGTTAACAGCTGTACAACCAAGTGTAAGAATTGATGCTGCAGCCAGTACAAGTGCCGAAAAGCCTTGATACTGACACGTACTCCATGAAAAAGGCCATTCTCTGCTCGAAAGCACMGTKGTACCAATGGGAACAGCATTTAATACCGCAAATCCAAAGTCGGAAAGCGCCAATGATGCTACAARCATATTTGCTGCTGTCCACAAACTTCGGTTACGAATGACAATCAACAACGTTGTGAAGTTACCGAGCAACGTTAACACACTGATTGTGCCCCAGATACCGGCAACGAGTACAATCTCTGTCCCACTTCTTTCCCTGAAGCCTTTAGCCATTCTATCGAGTTGAGCCTCAGTCATCGTGATAGTATTTAAACGAAATGAGTTCGTGTAGCACACTTAGGTAACTCAGAACTGATGCATTGGCTTTGGAACWCATAACAATTAAACATCTGTTTCTTCGAACATATAGTTTTGGGACAGATGTGTCATATTTGATAGGTTTGTAAGCGAAAATTGTCGAAACATCCCCGATTTGTATTTGTATGTTCCAAATATGGAAACTAATTGGACGATGCGAAACTGAGCAAAGCTGAGCAAACCAATTACTTGTACTGAATATATCGTAAAATGTAAATTTACTGATCTTGATTTTTGAAAGCAAACTCTAYTGTAAAACCAAAGAAATGTTAAATTAAATAAATTTCCTTCGATYCTAAAAAGTTTCGTTATAACAATCCAATCCTGAACTAGCTCGCTTTTATGGCCGTAATATGTTAGAATTATCATACATATTTAAAAAAGCTGTCGGGTAGAGCGGCCAAAATAAATAGCCRATRTTGAAAGGTAAAATTTGCACGAACAGAGGGAGTATGGTTACGTTGATTCACATACACAATTAATTCATTTTTTGGGTTCTCATAGGACATTGAATCAGTTATTATTTCACATCATTTAGCAGAGCTCTTCGCCCGTCTAATCGKTCATACGATAAGTCTTTTACATGAAACAGTCACATGGTCCAAATCCACCTTACTTGTTGGCAAAATACCCACTGGGATGTTCCAAACTAAAAAAGGCAAGATTGACGGGTTGCGTTCCTTTCGTTTTCTTGGTTGTTTACATTCATTTGCCATCCAGTATGTCGGATTTAGTACCATGCGAATGTTTCATGCAAAAGACCTATCTCAACTTTCTGCAATTACTTCTCGCCATTTTATTCATCATTTGTGTAAAAAGATAAATTTTACACCGTAAAAAAGGAAGTGAGATAACTTACTGATGTTTCGGACGTTAATCCTTCGTCAGCGTAAAGAAGATTTTATTGAAATCAGTCATTAATTTTTGGTGTATGTATTACAATCCGAAAATAAATGATGATGATGATGATTACAATTGTGCAATATAGACATGATTATTTGCGGGTTGTTTCTGTTGATTGTGTTGCTGTCGTTGTCGTTGTCGTTGTTGTCATCGTTGTTGTTGYTGTTTTTAAATCGAATGCGTACTACAAAATATCATGTATAAAACCAACGGTAATTTTCACGCTTCATGCTCCGGAATATTCTAATTGTCYGGTGAACATATTTCTTCGACTAAGGACGGACCATTAGATTTTTGAGGGAGGGGTTGGGCAATTTTGKGTGTTCTCGAATTTTTTTTACACATGACTTTCTCGCAGGAATATTTCAGTTGTTTCAAAACATTCAAAATATTACTTTTTAAAATGTTTTTCTCTGCAGAATTTATAGGTTAATGTTTAACTATTTCATTATAGTCTGATTCAAATTATTGTTTTTAACACATGTCGATAAAATGTGTCGGGAAATGCATGGACTATAGCGCACCAAAATGGACAAAAATGACCGATTTTTGATGAAAATGCATGGACTATACCAACAAAATGACAAAAAGTGACCGATTTTTTAATGAAAATGTATGCGCCATAGCCCACCAAAATGGCCAATAATCATCATGTCTGTCACTAAAAACATGAAAACGAAAAACAGCAGTTAAGATATGTTTTGTTAAATGCAAAATATAAATGAAATAAACTTTGAAAAATGTCATTGTTGTGTAAAGTGTGTTCCACATCTGTGAGTCTGATATTATTCACTTGCACGATTTGTTTTTGTCACTCCTGCTGTGCACGAAATTCTTTTTCTTTATTTAACATGATTTAAGCCTTGCTCGAGTTTTTTTTGGTTATTGACCAACCCTCTCCTCAAATATCTAAATGGCACGTCCCTAAATCTAACACCTTTACTATTCCGTAGTACTTCAACTGAATAAACAAATGACAAATAATATGAATAACAATCAGGTTTGTGTTTACATCTTAAACAATAGAGCCAAACTGTTGGATAATCAACTTGACTTGAGATGGATAACAATCAGGTTTGTGTTTACATCTTAAGCAATAGAGCCAAACTGTTGGATAATCAACTTGACTTTTAAAGAACAAATACAATACATAAACTGTCTTATTCGAAAAATATAACGTGGAATATCTTTAATTTTTATAGTTCTAGATTGGCCTTTTAACAGCTAAAAGACKTTGATGAGAGGGAGYTCCGGTCTCGATTCCTGTCCGGAACGGAGTCCAAGGCCGARTCCAAGTTCTGMGGGTCCATATTTGGKTGCATGCCTTGATGAACACCTTAATTATGATGYATAGCGTCTTTTAAACGTCGTSTTTGTATGGGATACTCGTGTACTTAACTCTACACGATAGTCAGGTTAGTGGTCTATTGCTTTGTATAACTTGAAAGCTACTACCCACAACTAACACAAAGAACATTTAAAAACATTTCAACAAAAGTCATCGACAGTTTTGGTACCGAGCGACCGATTTGTTTTTGTTGCATATATGACTCAATCACGCATGAAAGCTTAGCGCAAGAGTTATGCACATATTTCAAAAAGGGTTTTCTGATAAAATGGCAAATTTCAATTGTTGAACAGCAATTGCACGACCGAAAGTAGCCATGGCTTTTAGAACTCGATGAGAAATAACAACTGATTTCTACTGTAAGATGATCTGTGGTAAACATCAGCTCCATTTAGCTCATTTCTATGCAAGGTAAATCCAATAAATGAAAATTTGCTTGTCAAAACATTATAACCATAGTCCCTTTTGGTCGTGCAATCTCCCTTCGACAATCGCTGCTCGCCGTTCTCCCCGACAACATTTTTGAAATAAGTGTATAAGGTAGCGATATAAAGGTTGACTTTTATTAACTGGTCAAATTAACTTCCACTAAAGTTTCCTAAAGATCAAGCAAAATTTACCAAAAGAACATCCTTGTTTATGTAGAGTTATGAAATCACTATAAATATTCTTATTTTACTTAAATGTATTTTAATCAACTCAGATTCAAACTCACGAATTTACAGCTGTAATATTAACATTGAAAACTTCTCAAAATGTATTCTTATTTCGCATCTCCAATTTAACACATGATGTTACTAGAAACGAGCTATAACAACTACAACTATGGAAACGCAACCAGTGTCATGTTACTAAATACAAATGTCGTCAGTATATGAAAGTTTTCTTTTGACATATTTAAATGATTACAAAATCCATGTTTAAATTAAAACAGCCAGAAGTAATGCGCGTATTTGAAATGAAAATCAGCGAAGTGAAAAGCGTTTAAACTCTTACGTAATAACTACGTAATAATGACATTAAGTTGCTATTAAAATCGAAATTCATGCAGTCCGACTGACAGCTGTCATTAAAATCTGACAGCTTAATCTTTTTTTCGATAAATATATAAAAGGATTTAAGAGTGGATCATATAGGAAGTGGACTTTCCGGAGCTATGGTAATTGCTTATACAGATTTGTCAGAAAATTACTAAATATTGCATTGTGAATTTCAAGACTGCAATGCATTTTAAAATTTTGAATTAAAATTCTTTTAAAACCCACGATAGGTGCGCTGTAAAATGGGAATTCTAAACCTAATTGCATTACACTCGACATTACATTGAAGTTCTTGTCTGACTAGTTTAACTATTTTGAGAACCACGACAACCCTCTGAGAGGCGATATAACGACCAGCAGTGCATGTTTGTATTAATACCCTGTTCCGAGCATGGTAGAACTGAACAGCTTTATTTGAAAATACAGTCAATCCCATTAACCCATTTATTTATTTATTCGTTCATTCATTCAATCCCATTCAAATATAAAGACAGTTGCATAAAGATACTTTTAAACCATTTCATATATAATAATAATAATCCGATTATTGGCAATTTTAATCTCCGTCAATTGTAAAATTTCCTGAAAGCATGTCAATGTTAAACTAAAGGTAGGAAATCAAATGTTACTGGCATTTGCATATGGTTATCCTCCAGGCCCGTA